GTCCACAACGCCACCCAGCACCGGAGACATGAACTCGAGGATGACAAAAATGTCATAGTGCTCCGGCTGGTTTGGGAATTTTTCACGCATAGAATTCAAGGCTGCCATAGGAAGAGGTTCGAGCGTCATCATGACTTGCCGCATAACGGAGTGATATCGTTCCAGGCCTCTCCCAGATTCAGGTATGCCCCACTTTAGGATTTCCATGTAAGTCGTGTCCAGAAGTGTTCTTCCTTCTTTTGACTCGAGAGCCATCAGATTGTCGTAGCGTTCTTTCGAAGTTTCTCCAGCTTTACCTGGCTTGATGAACTCGCAAGCCAGACGAGCCCACTCGAACAGACCATCAGATTTTTTGACGACATTATGGACTTCTGTTGCTCCAATGCCGGGAAAACGGTCAAGTTCCTTGGAAACATATAGCTTGATGTCACGTTCCACCAACTCCCGACGGACGTCGTCCAATGAGGTTGCCTTCACGTGTGGAACATCCCTCATGACACGTTCGATGTCTGGCAACGGTCTGGACGTCAAAAGGATCCGGAAATTGGCTGGTAGATGCGCAGCTTCTGATGATTTCAGGAGGCTCAAAATTTCCCTCCTCGATGACTCCGGCCCACTTTCATCCAAGGCATCAATTACCACGACCACATTCCCAACTATCTCTCCATTGATCTTCGACAGCGGCTCCAAGATGAATCGTTTCCACTGCTGTAGCACATCACATGTGGTCTTGAGAGAATGGTTATTTGACACCACATTGGACAATGCTCGTCGAAATGCCGGATTACGATCCGCCAGATCACGGGCGATAGTAGTCAGAATCTTTTCCTCCCGTCGTTCGGCCTGCCTGTCGCGAGCGAAGCAGAAACAGGTGCCGGGTGCTTTCACATCCTCGATCCACGATGCGATTGTATGGGCAATGGCAGACTTTCCTCTTCCGGCCTGCCCGTGGAGCCACAAGATACGAGGGGCATTGACGTCACTTGTGGTGATCCAGTCGATGATATCCTTCAAAATTTCTGTCCTGGTACCGTCGAGGCATTTCTTGGTCGTATTCAGGCCCGCACCAGCTGCGTAAGCCATGCCTTCGAGGTTCAGGTCTTCAAGCACGTGGGACATGTTGATCTGGATGTCCCGTATCGCGCGATCTCGGTATTGCTGCATCAAGTCACCCAGATTCTTGACGTGGCTACGGGCGACAGGTCTGCGGGTCGGAAACAAGGCTGTCCCCGATTCTTATCACTGACAATGTATCACATCAGCACACTGAAGCGAATCAGACGATTATAACCATAGGACCCTACAGATGTTCTTCTTCTTGCAATATTTTATGACGAACAGCGCTGCAGCACTCATCTCCTGTGAAATCCTCCGTAACGTCTCTTTCATGCTATCCATATTCTCAATGGCATCCTTTTCCATAAGAAATTCGTAGAGATCCTTCACGGTATTGAGGAGGCCAAACACCTCGTTGTCCAGGTTTGCTTGATTGATGAGCAACTAATGAGGACTATATAAGCGAGGGATCCATGAGAGAGAAGGGGGAAGTACTTGAGAAGCAGCGGTGAGAATCCCTAGCGCAAACTGGACATAAGGGTGGACCTGTGCGCTTACATCAGAGCGTGCAGGCGGCGGAGGGTTAAGGCGCCTACATTCGATAGAGTGGTAACAAAGGAGTTGAACAATTTGAGAGGCTGGAGAATTGTCTCGATACTTTGAATCTTCGTCACCGCGGTATCGGCCTGCCCAACAAGACCCACAGCTCTTTCCAATACCTGGGGGATGGGCTTCATCTCAACCATTGCCTGTTGTGCAACATTGACTTGGCTGCCAATTCTGGTGTCGGTTGTCCCTGTAGCGAGAGGCTCTGATCGAGTCTGGTTCGACCGATGGAAGAGGTGTCCCATCCTGGAGAACAGCGTTCGAGGTGTATTCGCCGACGGTCCAGCGGCCGAGGGGGCGTCGGCAGAGGGGTGAGACGCTCCTTCAGACTGTTTGGGCAGAGATCAATAAATACTATCGCGTGCAAGGTATAAAATGTGTACCGAAGGAATGTTAGGTACGGTCGAGCTGGGCCTTTCGGAGCTAAACAGACGATGTTTCCTCAGCTGCTTGCGAGCCATTGAGAAATCGGTGTTTTGTGTAAGGTTTGTAGGCTGGATTCGAGGTTGAGGGGTGTAAATGAGACAGTTGTCAGACTCAGTGTTGAAAGCGCCGACATGCTGTGGACACGTTGCAGGTGGCACTGCTGGAGGCCTGGAGCGCGGGCCAGATAACTATCCTCAATATCTAATGCTTATGATAAGAAATTCGACTCCTTCATGCTCGCGTTGAACAGAACGTCGATGCCAAGTCTACGAACACTTTCGCTATGCAGTGTAGTACCTCTCAGAAGAGTCAGATCACCCAGGTTTTGTACCTCGTGGACAAAGGCCCCAGTCATCGATCGAGTTCAGTTCAGCAGTAAGGACTCAGCTTTAGCTCACGCTTGACTCGTGCATTTCACAACACACGAATTCCTCGTTTCGATGAGCTTGCGCGCTGCTTCGGTCGCATACCGCTTCGATGACAGAGTGTAGGCCTTCTTGGTTTGTTATCTGATTGCAAAATTTACTACCGACGTTGTCAACGACAAGACTATCGTCGCCACATATTATTCCCCATCAATCCTATACCCTTCCACCCATAACGCCGCTCTCCTCGCAGCTCGGTGGACACGCAGCGGTGCAAACAGCAGTGGACGGCTCGTTTCTCCTTAAACCAGCCCTCGTTCCCAGAGAACTGGCATTCTACCAGCTCGTTCGCGATGGCGTATCGCTAGACATCGACATCACGACAATGGCGAAATAACGAGGCTCGTTATAACGACATGCTATAGGGAAAACAAGTTGGAAACCGTGGACTCGGCGATCACGTTCAAAGTACCATGCGCCTTAACTTGCTTCCAGAGGTGAGAACGAGGGCGGGGATTTATGGCAGAAATTATATGCTCAACATCTACTTATGGTCCATTTCTGAAGGCACCCGGAGGTAAACCACGCAATGATGCACAGGACGATCATGTTCGCATCTCATCTCCCTCTCGGCACTTCATACACGCCTGGCATGCTGCCGTTGCACAGGCGTCCTATTCAAACAATACCCGCTCTCCTCGCAGATTTACTTGGGTCCCCCAGGTATTGGCTAGCGAGGTCGTTTCTCTTTCTGGTCTTCAAGCCTCATGAGTTTATGCTTGTCGCGGGCGGAACGGTTTTCGCACCCTACTACCACACTACTCACGAAAACCGGTCGATTGACTTGCCGTTCCTGATGATACTAGGCAAGTGAATCCTACCGTCAAGCCAAAGCGGAACTTGTTCATGTTCAATCTTGACCGATGTAGCCTAGCTCAGCCCAATGTAATATTATTTTCCAGTGTCTTCGCAGGGAAGACGATCTCTTATCGGGATTCAAGTCCTTCGTCAAAGTTTGCAAGGCTCCACGAATGAACTGCAAGGTTAGACTGAGCCCAGCCTTTACTTCATTAATGGTGCCCTTCGTGTCGGGTCCTTGGTGCCCTCACCAGCGTCCCAATGTGTGACACCCAAGTCTCTGCTCGCACATGCATTTGGGACGTCGATGATTGAGCTGTGTTCCACGGTGTTGGGCTAGGTCCAGGCCCCTCGTCTGTCTCGTGCACCTAATATGTGAGTCGCGTTCTCTCATATCACCGTTCGTTTCTGCTGTTGTTCCCGACCGTTTCCCGCCAGTTGGACCATGTTGGTGTCGCAAAGGTGCGTTGTCGACTTGTCCTTAATGGATTGACGTGTTACGCCGTTGCGGGGTACCTTCCAGAAAGTAAGGCCACTTCATGCCAGGGGTTCATCCCTAAAAATCATTATTACTTTTGTCTCAATGGACCTATATGTTTTGCCGAAGTGAGTCGTTTTGTTGACGTTCCACACGAGGATGAACTTAATAACTCATATTATTTAGCCAAGTGCAGACCTCGTCGGAACAGTTGGACACCGCCTTACGAGCGATGAGCTGAGCTCGACGCAAGCAATAGGACAATGATCCAGCTGTACATGTGGATGTCCAAGTCCTCGCCCGTCTGACTAAGCATCATATGGCTGTGCCCGCTCATCCTCCCGTACTCCCTCGTCAACCCTGGGCACTCCGGGAGAACTGGGTGCGCATTCTTTGGTGCCTGTCATCTGGCAGCGTTCCACCGTAACAACGAGCATTGTTATCACGGCGTGCTATAGTACAAAGAATTTGGACACTGCAGATTCGGCGCTGAGGTTCAATGTATTGTGCACACTGTGCTCTAAGTTGCTGCCAGAGATGAGATCAAGGCAGGAATTTTATGGCAGAAATTGCCTATGTAGTGTTCGCTTACAGTTCATTTCTAAAGGTACCCGAGGATAAACTGCGCAACGATACACAGGCAGATCATGTTCGTGTCTCTTCTCCTTCTCGTCACCTCACAATGGAGACCAGTCTATTTTTCGCGTATTGAAGTTGTAAAAATTGTAATGGTGGTGCGGACAGTGGCACCTGCATCGCCAACCCATACTCCTTACCCGAAATTGGTGATCCCTATCCCGATAGTCACTATACATTCGAGCAAATGTTGGCCGTGTCTGTTTAGTCACCCAGGGGGATACATGCGAAATTCAATGGCATAGGTCAAAACCAGGAACGGCTTATATAGGCTTCTGCCGTGACGAGTGCAAGGACCTGCCTTACAAGCCCGTGAGGACGACGAAACTCGGAAGCATGGCTGATTTGTAGTCGCCGATGTGTCTAGTCCCTAGGTAGCGAAGCAGAATTTCAAGTCAGCCGTTTGTAGACGTATGTATGTATCATGGCATAGTTAGCCTCAGCATCGTATGTCATCTGACGGCAGAGCTATCGTGGTGAGTCGGTTAAGTGCAGAAACGCCTCGCAGAAGCCGGGCAAGGATGCGAATAGCTTATCGTAAGTAACCCATCGTGCCGCTCCATGCACTTGCCACTGGTCGTTTATACGACTACTTAGGGTGCTCACCCCAAATTCTAAGTATAATCTCCTGTGACTCGCAGAGGCCAAGTTCTCAGACCCACCAGCCCGCCGAATAATACACTTGCCACCAACAGTGGTGGCATTGGTGACCCTTCAATGGCACACTGCAATCACAACTGGTGGTAGCTGTGTTCTTACAGATTACTTCACGACAGGTATACGTGAGTGATGCTTGTATAATATACCACAAGTCACGTTGGTCTCGAGAGGTGATGCATGGGTAACGATGAAAGTTGCTGTACTGAAAGTCCTACTACATGAATCTGTGGATTGAGCGACTTCCAGGGGCAGGAAGATCGACAATGATACACAGGTTCACATACAGGGTACCAATCATTGGCTCGTTGCCATGTGTAATGTACAGACTTGCTAGAACGGCTACCAGAGAGGTTCGTCACCTCTGTGAGCTCGACGGGATGCTTGGGTAAGTCGTCGGAGTTATGATAAGACGCCTTGGAGTCTTCAAAAGTGTTCATGTACTCCACTACCTGGGCGCCAGACCATTGCATTTCGAGAGGCTAACGATGTGTTTGTGCAGGTACTCTGGAACCTACACAGTGATAAAACACACGGACATCCCAGGACACGCCAAAAGCGGATAAAACACAGCCAAGTGCAGCATCTGGGCTTTTCAGATAATTGCGGAAACCTGTGACATCTGTACCCGGAGTCCGTGACCGGATTCTGGCGGCAGAGGCCAATGCCAAGATATCCCCCACTAGGTAGCATGTGATTGTTAGTCATGAGCTTGTAGACGGCCTCTGCCAGCGTCTGGTTGTGCAGTGATGATGTAGACAGGGTAAGAGAAGGGGCATCGGTCTCTCTGATGAAGTACGAATTGTTGGTCAGGGTGACATGATGGCAAGATGTGACCACACGAGCTTCGTGCTCAACATCAGAGAAAAACGAAACGTAGCCAACGCATGGCTGCTGAGAGGATTCGGACATCGATTTTGCGATGGACGAGTTCGCCTGCCTTTGTGGGGAGTGGGGAAAATGATGACGAGTGAACCAACCATAGTATTTTCATGTGGCATGTAAAATGAACCTTTACCTGCCACGGCCGCTACCATTAGAACTGTGTAAAGAAAGATGCGAGAAAGGTGAACCGTAGACATTGAGCTGGTATAATTCCATTTTGATCTTTCGTTTCTCAGCGCCGCCCCCCAGCAACTCTTGGTGGACGATGGACTGTGTGACTTTTGAATTGCATGACCTATGACCAACAGACCATGTGACCTTTGAACTGCACTACCGCAGTGGCTGGCATCCTCCTGTTGAATGTAATTTCGAAATACGTGCTGCACATCCATCTGGCTGCCTGAAATTTTCCTAATTTTGGCCGTACGGAAGCGTGATTGTCCGGCTTTCCATACAGAATAACATCCGTGCTTTGAAGCGTCTGACCTCTCCCATCCGCAAATTGCGTCCTTAGGTACTGCTGCTGCCCCTGCCTCAGATTTCCCTGCTCCTTCCCCTGCTGGGGAGTCGTCTCAAGAGACGGGGACATCACAAAAGATGCTCTCTACCTCCTCACATGAGGATACATTGTTTGGATCTCCCTTGTTCACACCATCGGGCCTATCTTTCCTACTCACTTGAAAACTGACAACGCCTAGCGATGGAAGTATACCAACGATTGTCAAACGCTCGCGATCGTCGTCTTTTGCAAGTGGCGGATCCCTCCCTGACAAGTCTCGCTATAGAGGGAGGGACGAGATCGCTGCTCGGGAAGGTGGCATTTTCCCCATACAAGAGAAAGAAGGAACACTACCGCGTACGCTATCTGAAACGGCGCCCTTGTTGCCTCGGCACACTGTCATCGCCCATCGCGATCCTCCCTCCAGTCTGGGTCTCCCGAGAAAACTATTCTCACGGGTTTGGGTTCCAGATTGCATCGCGCATTTGTCATCGACGTCGATATTTGCGATGTGGCAAAAATAGCCATTTCCTCTGTTCCTGCAGTCATTTTTGGTGCCCCTTTGAACATTCTGGATGGTCTCTCCTGTGAGGCTTTCTTTCCGCGTCCTTCCCATCCCTCTCATGGACATTTCCGCAGATGGAATGATAATGTTTCATGCTTCCGGTGTTTTCACTAGCTTGGGTGGCATGGGCGTATCGCTATTTTCGTTTCGTGAGTATGAGCTTTCTTTTGGTAGCGCCGATAGTATAGGCATCGCTGACACCACCATCCAACTCGAATCCCGGTTCCACCACTTTTTTGCTTTCTCGAGAATATGGGCACCAAAGTTAGACGCGACGTCCGTTGGAAAGCCTAAAAAAACCTGCAGACCTATAAGAGAGGGCATATCACATTGCTAGAAGATAACTATGGCAAAAAATCCAGACTATGGCTTCCAATCCCGGACCGGTACTATTGCACGTCCTTTTTTTTTTTGAAAATGCCGCTGTGCCAAGGCTCGGATAGGCAATCTCGTAGCCTCATATGGAGAAACCTCTGAACAGACAGCCAATACGTCATTTGACATCACCGAGGCGAAGCCAACCACGTCTGGCACCTACAGTACCCCGACCCCAACTGACTTGCTCAGTAACTTCGATGGAGGAGTACGATTCGGAAGACGGCGATGTTCGCGTCGCACCACTGAAACATTTCAAGTCTGCCGCGCTGCCCCCCCTATGTGAGCAAGTTCACATTGTTGACATCAACGTCGCACTGCGGCGACATACCAGAGTTTGGTCTCGACGCCTAGGACGGTGGAGTTCGTTCGATATAAACCCGAAGGATTTGCGTAATCCTGCAGAAGAGGTTCTCAAAGTCCTTTCAGACATTTTTGGCGCAGTGATACAAGAGGCCGAGAAAACCGCCGGCAAGGCAAAGCTCAGGTTTGGATTACGGCCTAAGACAATCCGTGGACCCGAGCGAATCGAAACTTCTTTTCCCGACGCGTACTTGCTACTGGCAGGACAAGAAGAGTCTTGAGGAAGACGCCTGGCAGTGGATTCATGGCACGACATCGCAGTCTCATTTGGGTTGAAACAGGACGCCGGCGTGTCAGACGACTGCAAAGATGTGAGTGGAAGGTCCACCTTCGTTCGATCGTCTGTGACATAGTCTGGTAGGATGAAGAGAAGGTAATTTCTGCCCTTCATCACATTATGCATGGCGATCCTTGTCGGCGTGCCACATTTGGAGTTACCATCGATAACACACAAATGAGGTTTTGGTTCACTTGCAGGGCAGTCGCCCTCATGAGCGAGCCATTCAATTTCATGACAGTAAGCGGTCACAATTGTGGGGCATTCGCCGCTCATCCTAACATGCCATTAGGAGCCGGAACACCTCATCTACTTCTTCTGCTCCCTGGCATTCGCGAGGGATCACGAGCTCGGATGGGATCCAACCATAAAGAGGGTGTGTGACAGGGTGTCAAGTTCAGTATGACATTTCCGTACAATCAGAGGACGGAGAAACGTTGGTATACCGGACCACGAGAGTCATTTCCGATTTCGGTGCTGGAGACTTGACAGGTCAAGGGATGCTGTATCTTCGAAGCTACTCTCCAAGGTAGAAACTGGAATATTGGTGAACAACAACGAATGCATTGTGTTGAAAGATTCCTGGAGAGAGTCTGACCAGGCCCGCGAAGATAAAATCCTGGAACAAATATTTGCTGACTTGGGGGAAAAAGTGGACGAGGCTAGGAAATATTTTCTCACTGTCCGTGACGCAGCGGACGTGATTGTGGACGGAAAGATAGATGACACCGTCAATCTTCTATGCAGGCTACCTGTTGGTGAAGAACCTGCAATTGGTGCTGCAGACTGACCGGTGTAGGACTCACACCAGGATTTATTGATAGCGACGATCCCAGCGAATGCTTGAAAGTGCAACACAAGACTCATTTTCGTCTTGTCCTTCCATGAAGTTTTCCAACCTGTACGCTGAGCTGCAAAGCTTCGCCTACCGTGTATGAGACTCAACAGAATGCCCGTGAAGGTTCGTATAGTCGCGCTTGGAACTGAAGTTCTTGGCTTATGCACAATCTGCAGGCTTGGAGTTGTTGCACAGTGTGCAATGGGTTCACTGTGACATTAACCCCAAAAACGTCTTACGGACGGGGCAATCGGGTAAGATAACTGGCCTCGAATTCGCTAAACGCTTGGGGTCCGACACGACCCATGACGTCCATAGAGTGAGTAGATTTCCCATTTCCCTTCGGTGCACATTCAAAGACGTGCTAAAAGGGAGCGCTGGAGTTTACCGCCTGCGAGGTTGCATACCAAAGATACCTCTTTGAGCCTTCTCCACGACTTGGTGATTCCTTCCAGCATCCCCGCAACCTCCCCCAGTCCCAACGAATGCCATTTTCATACAACCCTTTACACGATTTGGAGTCTCTCTGGTGGATCCAGGCGTGGATGATCTATTTCCATGTCGACCACCAGGATGGTCATCAATCACCAGGTCAGACAAGATGGTTTCACAAGCTTTTCCCCAGGAGTCGTGCAGCACGTTTTGCTGCACTTGCGACTCGCATCGAGTATGACATGCTTCCAGCCTCTTTTCAAAAAGCAGCTCATGTTCTTGAACTGATGCGTGGAGGACTTATAAGTGCTTATGCTGACAGTGAAGAATCTGCCCCATGGGAGTATAATGAAGGAGTTGGCAAGATAGTTGACCAACTCCACTCCTACATTTCAAAATGTTTGCAATTTTGTGTAGCAGTCTCTGAGGGCGTCACCATTTTTCGTCCGTGGGCACCTGATGCTTGACACCCAAAAAAATAAGTGCAGAAAGGTCTGAGCATTTTGCAGGCCCGATGGTGAGAAGTTCCCAGTGGTTGGTTACCGGTCTTTCTGATCCTGCATCACTAGAACTTCTTATAGATGTGCATTTACACAGTAGGCTACATATGTATGTGAAATGTGTTTATTCACTCCCTTCTCCCTTTCCCCAGTTAGGCATTCAGTACCAGGAAATATGGCACTCCGTTCCCGGCAAAAATAACGCGCGTGACAATTGCGCGATACTACAGAGGTATGCGTGGTACGCAATATATAATGCGCGGCACAGGATATGCGGTGCGAGGCGCACGATGTAAAGGGTGCGCACAGTCTATGCAAAGCCCAGCCTCAGGGAACATCATGCATCATGAATGGTTTGCCATGTATGGAGGTGAACCAGCCCGAGCAAATGCGGGTAGTGACAGTCTAGATGATATATAGACGAGCAGGTAATTATGTAGCATAGGCTCTATGATACTTTCATAGGGAGATGACGTTTCAGTGGAGCCGCCGACACTAGCTCGGCACATTTACCGGACGATTTGTCATGTCCAGATCTAGGTTCAGACGCAGTTCATCTATCGATTGGCTTACCGCGCTGGATGGACACATCTCATATGATCTGTCAAGTGGAGTATCTGGCGGGTACGCCATCCGGGTTCCGGCAGCAAGAATTAGAGTAAGAGTTGGTTCTCTTCAGGTGTCCAGAGCTGGGTTTCAGGGAGCGACAGTTCAGCAACCCGGGAATTCTCGGTAAAATGTGTGGGGCGTGTCCTCAAGATATGAATTTAGCGTCTGGGCTGAGCAATCATAAGGTCAGGATCCGGACAACCACTAAAAATATTTCCGGAGGCATCGCTATACTCTGGCTGATCCTCATTACTTTGGCGATGTCGGATAACCCGTCAGGCGCAACTATACCTGATGTCGATCGAGTAGCGGGTGACTCTTCTAGCGCTACCTCCTCGGAACCGAAAGGGCTACTAAACATGAATGAGTATTCCAGTACTCCGTCGTTCGCGTTCCGCTTAGCAAGATCTTGCGAGGGTGATACTTCTGGGGACCCAAAGAACTGAACGAAGGTTCCCCCGAAAATAAACTTGGTATAGCAGAGGGCTGGGAACAATAATCATATATCTGTCGATGAAATGTGCAAGGTCTCCTCACCTCCAAAGGAATCGAAGGCAAAACGTGAAGGCATCATCTCTGATCTGCTCAACGTCCGTACTGAAAGCGACGGCCAACAAATCGCTTGCGATTCCGCTATTTCACTGCCATTGCCTCGTCCACCGGGAACCACGCAGCGTGGTGGTTGCACCACAAGGCTCGTATGACGGAAAGGCACCGAGAACACTGATAGCAAGCAGAATCAATAGCCTGCAATATCATTTACTGTATGCCAAGGATGAAATTGATGAAACCTTGATACATGAAGCGAAATGGATCACGTGACCGCTGCTCGTTCGTTTAATTCATATCCCAAAACAAAGCAATGCAGGCAAGGCCTGTTTTGAACAGGGGGGTTTCCTGCTGCGTCGCTCACCATGCCACGATTCAACTATGTCAGAAGGAAAAAGACGAAAAGGTAAAGAAAAGGCCTTTTCTCCTGGCCCATCCCGAAGAAAGGCAATGACACCTTTGCAGCGCCGCGAAACTTCGACGGCGTCGTACCGTATGGGTAATCTCACATCTGGTAGGAAGGCTGTCCTCAAAGATCTAGGACGCATCCTTGTTGTACCCCTGGATTCTTTCAAGTCTGCTACCATGCCTCCCCTACGTGAACAGATTAATATTTCCAACATCAAGGCTTTGGCACTGCGGGGAGGTCGGTTCCAGCGACTGCGGGCTGTGTTCAAAACGGACCCAAAGCACTCGGTTGAACATGAAGAGGAAGCCTTCCAACCACTGTCAAAAATTTTTACTGCGGTGGTGAACGAGGGAGAGAAAGCTACTGGCCAGAGCCCCAGACTTGCGTTTCATTCCCTACCCACCAAATCTCCCATCTCTGAGCGGACCAACACATCTCGTCCAGACGCATTTTTGCAATGGTGAACAAAAAAAGCATCGGCACGCCCCTTGGTGTTCAGTCATGGGAGGACATTGCAGTGTCATTTGAATTTAAAAAGAGCGATGGAAATGCAGAACGCGAAGATGTGAGTCACGCGTATATTTTCATTTGATTACCGCTAATCTAGTATGGTAGGACGAAAAGAGTTCTGTGGAGCCTCCACCATATTATGCGGAGCGACCCATGTCGCCGTGCTACTAGCGTCTGGTGTTACTATTGAGAACACCCAAACGAGGTTTTGGTACACTTGTAGGGCAGCCACCCTCGTGAGCATGCCATTCGATATCATGACCGTTAGTGGCCACGTCATCAAATCCATTGCTGGTCGTTATTGACCCCTCAACAGGAGCCGGAGCACCTCATCTACTTCTTCTGTGCACTCACATTTGCGGATGACGACGAACTCGGATGGGATCCAACCACACAGAGAGTAGTCGTCGGTGGCAAAGTACAATATAACATATCTGTGCAACCAGATGAGGGAGGGATTTTGGTGTACCAGACCATACGGCCCTTTTCGACTTTTGGTGCTTGATGGGTCGTGGGACCCGTACCTGGGAAGCAATTCCCTTGTCTAGGTACGGACACAAGGTAACCGAGCCCCAACCAGTCGTCTTGAAGGATTCATGGAAGGACAGTAACCGTGATCGCGAAGACGCAATCCGGGATCAGATACTTAACGCCATGGGAGAGAAAAAGGGTGAAGCAGAGAAATATTTCCTCATCGTCGTTGCAGCTGGGGACGTGGTTATAGGCAGGCTTGGGATGAAAGACACTACGATCAGTCTTCTCCGTGGAGCACACCTGCCAGAAAGCCACTGGCATCAGCTTCGATTGGACGAAGAACTAATGGGAAAAATCGGGACATCCGTTGGATTATACCCTATTCTTCTAGATGAGGATGGAGTTGAGGTTCTTCCCCCTGGCATCCAACACCGCACCCATTCCCGTGTGGTCTTTGCAGAAGTCGGGCAAACTATCTACGAGTTAGGAAGTTTCTCAGCTAGTTATGATACTCTCCAGCATGCTCGTGAAGGTTTGCAGAGTAGTCCTGCAAATCTCGGTCAGATCAGCTCATATACGATTTACAGGGTTACAGTTAATGCATGATATAGGCTGGGTACACCGTGACGTCAGCCCTGGAAATGTCTTGCGTGTAGGGGAATCAGGGCAAAATAACAGATTTAAACTATTCAAAATACATGCACTCGGACACCACACACGATATCCGTACAGTGAGTAAATTTGTCATTCACCAACCACAAACATTCAGAGACATCTCACTCGAAGATGACGCTGGATTTCATGGCATATGAAGTCACGATGCAAAAATATAACTTTCTACCTCATTCGAAATATAATGATTCCATGGAGAGGCCTGGCAATGTCTTCCAGGCCCCACCGATGTCATTTTCATACAACCCTCTGCACGATTTGGAGTCTCTCTGGTGGATTCAGGCGTGGATGCTCTATTTCTATGTCGACCACCAGGTTGGTTATCGGTCACCGGATCAGATAAGATGGTTTCGTACGCTGTTTCCCGGGAATCTCCAAGGGCGCTTAGCTGCACTTTCAACGCGCCTCGAGTATGACATGCTTCCAACTCCTTTTCAAAAAGCGGCTCGTATCCTCGAACTCATGCGTGGAGGGCTTGTAGATGCTTACGCTGAAAGTGAAGCAGTCATTCCACCAAATTATGACAAGGTGGTTGGCCAACTGCATTCCTACTTCGCTGACGGTTTGCGACTTTGCGTAGCCTCGGCTTCTGAAGACGTCAGTCTTTTCGAGCCGAAGGTCAAGCGGAAAGCATCAGATCGGCCAGTCAAAATCCAAGACAAAAAGCACCTGAAGGCCTGAACCTTTCGCCGACCCCTAATTGTTGGTTACCGAGGACTCCCTCCGATCCCACATCACTACGACCGTCAATATTCTCTATCACACCACATACGTCACACGAGAGCTGCGCATGTCCGAAATGTGTTTATTCTCTCCTTTCTCTCTTTCTCCCGTACTGTCGTCCTTCGTTTTTGAATTATGATATGTATCGAGCAGTCGAAGCATATGAGCGCGTCGACGCGTGGTAAGTACGTTACTCACTAGCTGGCAATCCACGCGTTGCGTCGCGTCAATTAATAGCATCTGCAAGACGCTGCAGCGCTGAGAAAGAATCAAGTCAGACTGCCCAAGAAACGTCGGCGAACCTCACACCGAAGAGGGTACCACACGTTCCAAGGACACCACGCCAATCTAGGCAGACTCATTGCATGTGTTTGGCCACGCTACATAACTTCCTGAAGCTGATGCAGCCTTGAATGTATGAAATGTGAATTAGTTGGGCGCAACTGTCGCAAATGGTAAGAGAGCTGAGGTCCTAATGGCACTAGTCCTGTACGATCAGCCTCTCTGGTCATGAACATTGAGATGTGGGCCACGAGAGTCATCGTAGATGTACCAACGTAGACGGACAATGCTGAACATTCGTCTGTCATGCTCTTTTACTCTAGTCCCACTCGCCGTACTCCCAGTGAAAGCAATCCTAGAAGTGTCCAAGCCGGTTCGTGAGCAATTCATAATGTACCACGAAGGGACAACTCACAACGCAATCCACTTCAGGTTTGGCTTGTGGCACCGGTCGTCTGACCACCTTGTCTTTGTCCTTGTCGTGGTTATCTCCCTTTCCACCCCACCAACCCCACCTTAGCTTGTGTAGCAATCCTCCTTCCTCGACGTCGCCTCCAGCGCCGTCGTCACCTTTCAAAGGTTCATCGTCCCACTCAAATTCTTGAGCCAGCAAGCGCTCGATAACATTGACGATGGAATGTGTCCTGACATCTACGGACCATCCAAGTTTAGACACAACATCGTAGAGTACCACTTGGCCCAAATGACACCTGAAAGATTTGTATGACGAGAGGTAACATGAAATCTAGCCGAACAGAATAAATAAAACACTCACCGAGTCTCCATTGCATAACCAGCCAACGCACAGCTGGATGTAACTCCGTTACACGTTCCCATGGCGATTGGATCGGCTGTGTGTATGACATGGGTGATGTGGTGGGTAGAAGGCTGCACAAGTGTTCAGAACATTTGTAGTAGACATAAGATGAGTACGAACAGGAGATGGAAGGTGCAATCGCGTCGCTGCGAGCTTCTCAGCGGGAGCTTCAAACGCTACGACAGGTGCACCGAATGTCGCGCCTATTAATGACGAGACGGAGCCTCCCAAGGAATGACCTGAGATGAACGTTAACAGCCAGCTGTAGGTGAGAAGTAACAGGGGGAAAAAAAATGCCAAACGCACCAGTTACCCAGATATTAGCGTGCGGATATATGTAAGTAATGTTATTGTACAAGTTCTACACGCAATCGCAATCACGGGGCACAGTAAATTCAAACGTACGACATTCATAAAACGCAAACTTACCAGTCCAATCGAGTAGAATAAATCCTCGTCTAGCAGCGACGCTTCTACGCATGCGTTGCTACATTTACCAGTTCCCTTGTAGCAACCGCAGACTGTACTCCACGTCGGCCCCACGCGTGCACAACAACACGAGAACATTAAATTATCATTTAATTTGTCCTTCCGTACTGTTGGACCCCCACCACCAGTGATCCAACCAGCAGAAGTACCCTTGATTGAGATAACGACAGTTGTATTGTCTGTGGAAACGAAGATGTGGCCGCGAAGGCCGTCAGCGGAAGGTTCCCAACCAACTGGGATGGACTGCACAAAAGCGATTGGTTTGCGTGTGGTAATGTTACACGGAGGTGAAGGGACTTACAGTATTGAACTCAGCGACGTCGTACCAACCGGAATCACGACCAGCCAGATAAGCATTGTTGGTCATCTTCGCTAGCGCGAGTAGGGTCTCCCGATCTGTTACGTTAGGGCCAGTTACTTCCATTCCCTCCCATAATGCCGCGTCGCTCTGCGCGTGGCGTATAGAGCGTAGACGGGCGTCGTGAAACGCAGGCAATGATGAGGGTTTGTGGGTAGTTAAGCGAGAGGCACGTAGCGTGTAAACATACGGGTCTGCTGACACCAAGGAGTGCGCAACGAGATCGGAGTCGCGCACGTCGCTAAATATCACTCGCGAGGAGTTCGTTACTGCGTGCTGATGCCGCAGCTGGAATGACAATTGAGGCGAGCCCTGCTTCAGAGGGTGCTGGAGGTCATTTGGCCACAACAAAAACCCGACAAGAAGACGGAGAGTAGTCGGAAGTAGAGTAAGCATGGAGTCGCGATACGTCTATGAGGTGTAACAGTGCAATCTGCTCATCACCGATCGTCTTGGTAGGAGTGAAAGGCAGGTGAGCACTGTGGGTAACATGCGGCAAGTGGCAGCCTTTTTTGGTATGCCCAGTCCGCCGGCATCAGTATTAGCACCGCACCGACTGAACCTCGTTTTGACCACCATGGCACCCCAAAGCGATCTGGAGGACGTCGTCAACTTAGAAATAAAGTGCGTACGGCCAACTTCCGCGGTTTGCCACAACCTCTGAACAAACCCATCAGGGAATGGCACTTCCGTCAGTCCATTTAGTCACCGTCGGCATCTGCGCTGCAGCACTCGCAAGTGCAGCTTGCCATGTGGACTTCGTGCTCACATACTAGCACGTTCATAGATATATACTTTCATCAAAATAACGCGGAGGAGCACGCCGCCGCTCTTGAACTCCGTGATGCTGTTCTTCGGCTACGCCGAGATGGCGCCTTCGTAGCCGTTCCGCTCTTCCGAGTAAATACCTACCCCATGGGGCCCCACCCAGTCGGTATGCGAGTCTTTATCCTCTGTTAGATATATCCCTGATGTGTCATCCCTTAGGATCCTACGAAATCTGGGTTCCGTCCACATCATTTGCGCCAGTGTTCTCCTACCTTTGCCAGAACCGAGGAAAGTTGAGGTAACTTGGTAATCACTTGAGTCTTGGCTTTTTTAACTTACGGCCACAGTATCTTAATCCACCCACTGACAAAGGAGGAGGTTCGTCTGTAATAAACCTGCAAATTGAATGTGGTATTAACCACTGCAACTCGACTTCTTGCAGAGAAAGTGAGATGGTCTGGTATGCTTGTCATATTGTGCTGAGAAGCGTTTTTCCAAGGGACCACCAATTTCGAAATGCGTGGATGGGTGCACCATTCCCGCTCGACCTCTCCGTCCTCCCTGATATGGTGCCTGAAGTACCTCTCCAATATCCTAGCCTCAGTCAGTCCTGTCATTCTTTGTTAACCGTCTGTCTACTTACCAAGTATTAGGGTTAGGGTACTCTGCGCCAGGCCCCGATTTTACTTTGGAGGAACGCCGGCGCATTGGAGCAAATGTCGAGCGAATCCTCGAAGGAGAGAAGGAAGCAGCTCGTGCGCCCCCCAGAGAATCAAACTGAAAGCAAATTTGGGGATGAAGTTATGCGGTGTGCCTTCGACTCGAAAGGGCCACATGATGTGAAGGTGCGGTTGGTATGTACGATTGATAGCGTGATGGAATTGCTCTGTATTTTTGTCTGTGGGTTTGATAATCGATTTTTGTTCTGCAGAATCAAGGGTCGGCCCAAAACACTGTAGGGGGCCCAGAACCAGTGACTCTCATTGTATCTTGGTTGTCACGCAACCTTCCACTTCACTGAAAACCTGTGTCCTTGGTCTCTTCGCAACGATCTCCTACGTCGTTCGTGTCGACGACTGCGTGCCTGCTTTCCAACACCTACCTCTTTCCTCAACACCAGATAACAATGGGTGGGAAAGGCGCGGTGGTCAAGTTGGCGTTTCGGTAAATTCGACTAGGTAGAATGTGTTGAGGAAAATCAACCCTGTCCGTAGGGTCTTCGTTGCCCACCAGCACGCTGTCAATCAACGGCGATTCTCTGTAGAGAGCGATGCCGCGCTCCAGTTCACCTAGGGGAAAGGAGAACAGGCAACCTCTGACGTCGCACCCAAACTGGAAGGAAACTCACTCCGGGGATGTACGTTCCGCTCAATTTGGAGGTCAAGCTCCGAAGCCACAGATCATATCTCCTGAGTTTGGCCGCACGGTGTGGAGTTCTGCTAAGCTCTTCACCACGTGCAAAAGCAGCCTTGATCCTAACAGCCCTTCGGATTCACTTACATCCTAACGCTGTGCACCATTTTTACACTACCATTTGAAACCTCCCGTGCTCACTCGGACGACGGACGTGCGACCCTACTCAGGAATAATGTTACACTCGTGCACACCGCTTCACCAAATCATTGCTCTCTTCCCGTGCCCAACGTTTTTACCGTACTCCCACCCGCTCGCTACCATATAATTCAGACGGGTTAGTATCCGACCTGTAGTAATACATATCACTCAGATCTGACTGTCGAACGTCGAATTGTCGGTTAGATTACGTAATCTTTTTTAACCCAATATCATTTGGAGTCCCTCGCTGGGACGCTGTTTAGTACAGGTAGGTGTGTGTAGGGATTAGTGAGTACCAAGTTGGAATAGAGATAGTGGATTGGTTCAATATCATGTCTACTACCATTTTGCTCCGAAACCTGGTGTTGGAGGAAAAGTTAGCTTACTGCTCATTCCGAACTGGACTATAAGACCGCGTTCTTATCGACCTGCTCGTGCCCGCAGAGATGGATCACAAGTCAGCAAGAGCAGGGATCGGCCATGTCAGAGCAACAACAGACAGTGATGTGGCACGTCCGTCGAAACGATCTCCCTCAAGCATGATCGTCATAAAACTTGGTTGGTTGTCTCGAGCACTGCGCTGGTGTAAGACTTATGCGTTGACATCTGTCGCAGGCACGTCGTCAATCGTACACGAAGAGACGCACCAGCCTTTACTTTCAATTCTCTCGTCCGTAGTGGAGACGGTGGTAAATTTGAGGAGGCATGGTCACTAAGGTCGTGCTAGTCAGTTCTGGGGCGATCGGAGTTGGCCTACGGACGATGGACATCCCTCAGAGACCAAAGAGTTTATCGAAGAAACAGGTTCGTCTTCCGAATCAGAACAGCCTGCATACACGGTTTCAGCCAACCATTTCATCTAGGCTCTCTCCGCGGTCGGGCAAGGACGACTGATCGCACTCTGGGACAACCTCTTCGGACAGTTCGATCAACGAATAGCACAGATTCTGCTGACAAGGGGTGATATCTCTGATGTGCGACGACGCTCTCTGCTATGATCGTATAGCCCATTTGACCGCGCTTGTAACCTAGCGCACCAGATATTTGAATGCCGTCAACACACTCAAAGAACTGCTCTCTATGGGCGTCGTACCGATCGTTAATGAGAACGACACGATCTCAGTCAGCGTAAGTAAGCCGCTGGTTTGCGATCATAGCAATGATCGTTATCATGCCTGACTTTTTGCTGCGCAGGAAATCAAATTCGGAGACAACGACACGCTGTCCGCTATAACGTCTTCTATGATCCACGCAGATTATCTGTTTCTGCTTACGGACGTCGATGGGCTGTACACTGCAAATCCTCGAAAAGATCCCGCCGCTAAAAAGATCGATATTGTTACTTCCGTGGCAGACATCCGAGCTCAAGGTGAGTGAGTGCCTTGATATCATGGTGTTTTTTTGGCATGTAACAGACCGTCGATGGTTGTATTCGCACAGTTAGTACATCCACCCTGGGATCTAATCTGGGTACCGGTGGGATGGAAACGAAACTGATCGCTGCGGAAATCGCGACTGGCGCGGGCGTCACCACCATCATAACGTCGAGTAAAATGCCGTCGACGATCGTTGATATCATCGACTACTACACAACTTTGCGACTTTCGTCGCGCCCGTCATCTGGGACGTCTAGCCCAGCTCCGAAACTGCAAACCATCGATCTAGAGCACGTGAACGTCTCGCTGAACCCGAGGAGACCTCCCCACACAGTTTTCAAACCATCTCTAGTTCCCGTCCGCGACCTCAAGGCATGGACGAGCCATACGTTATACCCTGCCGGCGGCGTGATCATAGACTCAGGAGCACATGCCGTGTTATCCCGCAGAGAATCAGGGGGTCGTTTGCTCCCAGCTGGGGTTCTCGGTGTTCGCGGATCTTTTGCATCTGGACAGGCTGTCCGGGTTCTCATACGATGTTTACCTGAAGGCGTGGTTCCGGAAAAGAGCGAAAAGAGAGCACGTTCGACGGGACCGGACGAGAAGACCGGTCACGTGTATTCGGAGGTTTCCTTATCGCGAACGAGCTCGTCGTCTTCTTTGGTCGGCGATCTGGAGTCCGATACACAGACGATCATGGACGATGACATGCATGCGATGCATGGATCTGAAGAGAGCGACTCGTGGGAGGTAAAAGAGGTTGGGCGAGGTCTTGCTAATTATAATTCGGCACAAATATCTCGAGTGAAAGGGCTGAACAGGTGTGTTTCGTTTCGTGATGTTCACAGCACTGGAGATTGAAGTTATTTTTACAGTTCTCGCATCCCACAGCTTCTCGGGTACGCGGATACGGAGTACGTTGTAGAAAACATCACGATCAGGATACCGGTGTGAACTAGCTGTGGCTGTGTAGATTACTTAGGGACCGCCCGTAGCGGATATTTTGACCACCGGATTTTTTTTTCTTTGTTTCTGTCCGGGACGCACACGTCACACAGGTTTGCTGGCACGGTTTTTCTTGCATCTTTCTCTGCACTCTCACAGCTCTTTCTTTTATTTTATGTTCTCGTCCTAAAGTTATGTACCACGGAAATTCTATCAGACTCCTTGCAGGTCAGTTCGCACCCACGCCAAAGATCTCCCGGGTGGAGCATGCTCACGATAGTTGGTTGTCGTTGTCTCCCAGGCAACAGTCACCCAGAGCTCGCTCACAGTGTGGCCGAGCGGTGAGGACGCACTCCGTGCTGCCATGCGTGCAGTATAATATATGGACGAGTGACATATGCTCTATACAGGCTCGGAGTACCCCTCACTCCGTGCATGCCTCAAAAATTCTCCAATGGCGAGATCAACGTCAAAATTGCGGAGTCGGTCCGTGAAGAAGACGTCTTCATCATCCAATCCGGATGCAGCGACGTCAACGACAATCTCATGGAACTTCTCATCCTTATCTCTGCATGCAAAACAGCTTCTGCTCGCCGCATCACCGCTGTCATTCCCTGTTTTCCCTATGCACGCATGGACAAGAAGGACAAATCGCGGGCGCCAATCACTGCCAAGCTCGTCGCCAATATGCTGGCTTGCGCAGGGTGCGACCATATCATCACGATGGACCTGCACGCCAGTCAGATACAAGGGTTCTTCGACATACCCGTAGATAACCTCTTTTCGGAACCCTTGATGATTACATACATTAAGCGTATCGACGGGTGGCAAAACAGCATAATAGTCAGTCCGGATGCGGGTGGCGCAAAGAGGTTCGTTCTATTCATGCAGTGTCTCCGCCGCGCCGAGTTTTAATAAGTTGTTCCCATTTGAAAATCCCGTCCCTACCAGGGTCGCTGCTATTGCGGACAAACTTGGGGTCGAATTTGCCTTGATTCCACAGACAACGCGATAAACAATCCAAGAATGCCCCAGAACGGATGGAGCTACTGGTCGGCGATGTCCGGGATAAGGTACGCTGCTTGGTGGAGATCCGCACATGGCGATACGATAACCCATTGTTCATACTTGTGCTGCAGGTGGCTATTCTCGTAGACGACATGATTGATACCGGAAAGACGCTCATGCTCGCGGCACGAACGCTGCATGATAAGGGTGCCAAAGCCATTCATGTTCTTATTTCGCACGGTTCGTGCCTGACCATTAACGGTGAAATAGAGCCGCTGACTTGATGGTAGGTTTGTTTGCCGAGGCCGACTTGACTGTGTTAGACCAGCTACCGATAGAAGAGCTTGTGGTACGTCACCTCTATCATCATTTAAACCACTTGTCTGAATGGCCTCAATTGGCTCACAGGTCACCAATACGTGTCCACAGAAGGAGCACAAAGAGAAATGTCCAAAAATCCAGGCCATCGACATCAGCGCCATCATTGCTGAGAGTATACGGCGTACGCATAACGGCGAGAGTATCAGTTTACTCTTCGGTGATTGGACGGGAGGTGGACATTTGGATATGGTCGTGCTATGAAAAAATCAAAACCCACCGGACTCGGATTTGCATAATCTTACAAATCTGTATGCGTACAAGAACAGTACAGATGTAGAGCACAGAGGCTGGATCTAGGATTAGAAGTAGATGTCACCAATGTCTCGGGCCTTCCAGGCGTCCTTTCGAATTCCCAACCCTCAAGTGGGAATGAATTGCCAGGTATATGATCCCACGTCAATGGACCTCTACTCTGGCTGGAGTTCCGCAAAGGCGCAGTTGCATGTAACCGTGAAGTCTCGAATCGCAGACGTTCTCTTACATGGAAACACGAATGCTTGTTCCACGAGGACAGATTTAGCTACTGTCTGAAGGGCCACAGAGATAAATATTTAACCCACATAGTACGGCGAGCCTGTTCCCTCTTATCGCTTAGGCGTCCTCCCACTATGTCCCAGAAACTCACCTTAACAACGACCAGCTTGCTCAACACCACGATATCTAATGCAACCGATACCGTCTACTATGATATCCAAACACCTGAGCATGAACCGCACCTTACGACCACACAGCGGTTAGACTCCCGGACGAATCGGTATAATTTAACAGGAACCATCCGAAGCCAAGCAGGCAATCCTGTTACGGTTAGCGTCTTCGGGGAGCCAGCAAAACGAGAGGACCAGTGGGTAAAAAAAGCTATCGGTGGCTTACCAGGAGAAAGGTGCGAAGAACATATACCCTGACCGCGTGGTCTGACCTTCATACGGAAAGCGCGGATAAAGTGTTTGGCAGTTCGAAGACGGAAAGGGGAGTAACTTTGCTTGGAGGGTCTCCAGTGGCATTTTGGAGGTACATGATTATCCACTGGCAGAAAGGAAAGGCTGTTGCTGAATCTTGTCGCAAGCTATGGCGCACAGATGAAGGGGTGAGAACGAAGCGGGCACTCGTTACGTTCCATCCACACCGACGGTACCTTATGGTGGGCTGGATCTTACAACATGCATACCTGGAAATCGACAATTCCATCGTCGATTCTATAGACGCGATTATTCGTGAGTGAGAATCATTCTTTCGCTGCCCAGCGCTCAACCATGCCGGAAAGTGTCTTTGTTGATTGTTGAGAGTAAGCGGGGGGCGGGATATTGTAATGTACATGAAACGGAGACAACAGCCGTCTAGTCAGCTACAGCAAGATGATGAGTAAAATACACGAACATTACTATACATAGAAGGGGACTTACTGTTGGGGTGCTCGCCAGCCTTCATCTAAGGCATCTTCGACTAGGAAATCGTACCAAAGTTTGGCTATAGGGGCTGTGCTGAGGTGCCAGAGAGCGTGTGCATCCAGGACACGACCCACAGGGGGGAAGTCGAACAATTCCAATGCCGTCGCAGCCGTTGTCAATGCAACGAATAGACCTGCTTTATACGCGTATGATGGTCGGTATGTCTTGGGAGCATGTGGGAACCGCCGAAGGAGGGAGACTGATCGGGGAAGCGAATACAAGAGCCACAATAAGTTATGTGCAAGACCGAGGGCGAGGTTAAAAGCCATGTTATAGGAGTAGTCGAAGCGGGGGAGGATGGTCAGGTATGTTACGTGCGCTATGTACGCTGCGATACACAGCATGGACCACGCGATGCACATAGCAGAACGCAACTTTGCGGTAGACTTTGGCACGCTGCTGTCCGTTGCTCGGGGGTACATGTGTAGCATGCGAGTAACCGTGAAATATAGTGCATACATGATGGCCAATGCTGCCGAGAAATAGTCCAGTTTTTCCGTGCGAGGCAAATCTACGCACGCATAATCAGATAGACAGGTGACATGGGGTAACTGGCGTACCTCTGGTGTGGAATACAGCAGACCATGTCCAAGCGTTGATGCTCACATACGCCCACGTCAGATAATACGGTTTCATCGGATGGGTAGCAGGCATTCTGCGGCTGATCTGACGGGCGCCTTGTAGATGGAACCACATGTTCCAAAGCGAGAATGCGACCGAGGCAGGTTCTTGCATGCCCAAGAGTCGCCAGAACGGCCATTTTCCGTAGTACTGCTGAATTGGTTTCCCATCCCTGACCGCGTTGTCTGTCAGCATGTGCATACAGGTGTATTTACAGTCGTCGCCGCATGTCCAACGTGTGAGGCGGAGGTCCAGGGAAAGCGCGGTCCAGGGATGACAGCGACCGACGCATTTTGAGAGGCAGTCTTGAAAGTCGGAAGACCTGTCCCCAGACGACGCCACTGCGACCGTCGCCAGCAAGGCCAGCACGCCCGTCCGCCACACCAGCGACCCTCTCATCGTTGAACGAAGGTAGAGGTATTATGTAATCAGCAATGTACCACTCGATACTTCTGCAATCACCACCTTGAACTGACAACTTCCTGGAGGAATCGCTAGGGGACTGTCGCAACCAGACTCGTTCGAAACTTGACCCAGAACCTCCAGCAGCAGGTGGTCATTGCAGTTACTACCAGTGGAATCCAAGTCGTGAACCGAGAAATCCACCGCCTGTGGGGGCGTTCCCTTATTACGAACACGACCATATGGTTCGGGCTTCGCAGGCGACTACCTTCTCATCGTCCGTTTATTTCGACGATCGAGGTCCTCATGGCACCGCACAACCAATAACAGAACGTGTCAACGTAAGTCCATCTACTGGCAGGAATCTAAAGGAGGTTGAGTAAAAGGCAAGCCGCATTCCCGTCCGATAGTCTCTTATTTCTTCCCAAAAGGCGTTGGCGAATTCCACTACGGGGTAGGAATTTGTTCCCCTTTTCCCGACCCGCAGCAGCCGCTAACGTTGCATTCCCAGGAACGACATCCGATGAAACCACACCGACTAACGCTGACCAATGCCCTTGTCATGGGTTATGGTCTGGACAAACAGATCCACCATATGTATAACCCCCGTCCAGCGACTCAGGTAGAACTTGAAATGTATCATGACCATGACTACATCGAGTTCTTATCACGGTAAGTACACATAAGGGTTAGAGGAGCAGCGGCATGATTTCGATATGTTTGCAGAGTCACTCCCAACAATCAGAATGAGATGCGACACCTCATTGACACCTTCAACTGTGTAGAGGACTGTCCAATATTCGCCGAAATGTATGACTTTTGTCGAATGTACGCAGGGGCTTCCCTAGCCGGCGCCCGTAAACTGTGTTCCGGAACCTGTGACACCGCAATCAATTGGTCAGGTGGTTTGCATCATGCGAAGAGGGGTGAAGCGAGTGGATTCTGTTACGTCAACGATATTGTACTGGCAATCCTCGAGTTGCTTAGGTCGGCGTTCACCATCTTCGAGTTTATGCACGGCTGACCGTAGTCGGTAGATATCACCCACGGGTCCTGTACATCGACATCGACATCCACCATGGCGACGGTGTTGAGCTTGCATTTTACCATTCAAATAGGGTAATGACGGTGTCGTTCCATAAATATACCGGAGAGTTCTTCCCCGGAACGGGGAAACTTGACGACAATGGGGCCAGCCTGGGCAAACACTTCTGCCTGAACGTCCCACTACAAGATGGGGTTGACGACGAGATGTACCTGACAGTATTTAAGACCGTTATCGAGGATACGGTGACGGCATTTCGCCCGACCGCAATCGTGTTGCAGTGCGGTGCCGACTCGCTAGGATGCGACCGCTTAGGCGCTTTCAACCTATCTATCGCTGCCCACGGGGAATGCGTGAACTTCGTCCGGAAGTTCAACGTCCCCCTTCTGGTGCTGGGCGGCGGCGGTTACACCATTAAAAACGTCAGCCGATGCTGGACATATGAGACTGCTGTTCTCGTTGGCGCAGAGATACCAGACGAACTGCCTGCCACCGCCTATGACCCTTTCTTCCGCGACTCCGAGTGGAAACTCCATCCCCCATTGACAGGCCGAGTGGAAAACCAGAACACCCCAGCGTCACTACAAAAAATTACTATCAGCATTCGGAACAAGCTCAGGTATTTGCAGGGCGCTCCCAGTGTTGCCATGCAAGAGATACCGCCAGATCTGGAAGGGTTGCTTGCCGACGAGGACAAAAATCAGGAGGAGAGAGACGAAGAACGGGGAACTGCGTTCGCAGGGGAAAGCAGGAGCGATAGGTGCACCGCCAGGCATGAGTATTTCGAAGGTGATAACGACGTGGACCATGACGACTGTGCGCCAACGTCAGCCACGAGGAGAAATCCAATTTCCGCAAGTACTCGTAGGCCTCGAGCCAGACGTGGTCGTGGTCGAGCCAGGGGAAGGGCAGTTGCTGCCAACGGAAGGGAGGACGACGAAGAAGTAGATGAATCTTCGTCGGTGAAGCCTGCGAAGACAAGAAGTAGGATAAGGTCCCGGGCGAAACCTCGTGGTAGGATCGTGGAGAAGGACAAGGACAAGGATGTAGAAGATATGGATGCGGATGTTGGGGGTGAACCCGAGTCTGGGGTTGAGCCAGTGACGCCAGTAGATGTTGATATTGACATATAGCATTTCCTGCATGTAATCTAGGTGAGTCTACCTCAATACTGTTGTGCGTTGGCGGGCACGGCCTAGGTGAACGAGCAATTGACAGTAGGTCTCCGGCATTCATCCCTCCAGTGAGAAGAAAAGTGACGAAATGCTACTTGCGCTGGCAGGCGCTTGAATTCTCAACTGCAGTAATTGGACACGTCGCCTCAACCCGTAGTAGAGTGACATGACAAGTTTCAGAGCTTGGGGTAGTATACATATAGACAGACGCAGAAGGAGCTATCGAAGCGGCTGGTATGAGTGATCGCGCACATGAGTTGACTCGCCGCACAGGGTTAGTTCGTACTATCGGCACTGCAGAGGGTGGGACTCAGTAATTCGTGCTTCAAATGGCTGCTCACCTGACTGACTGATCTCAACAACCTGTCCACGTATGGTCGTTGATGCTTGCGTCAACTTGAAACGGATAACCGTCGACGTGCCAAGTACTCGTTATTTCTGACAGACAAGTGCTGAGATGCAGGAATACCGATCACGAGTTCGTGGCCGAGTATAGTACAGCTTCACGAGGGACCGGCCGACTCATGAGCTCATGAGAGATAAACGGGGTTTGCTGTTTGGGGACTCAGAGCTAAGCGAGTGGATGTGTTATTGCAATAAGAATTGCAATCCACGTTCGTGAAGACGATGGCAAGCCATACCACACCTCCCACCTGTCTGGTGAAGACTGGGTGCTGGAACTGCTTGTGGGTCACCCAGAATGCATTCATTGTGAACTTGGGATGCACATGGAGGTTTTCCAGCAGCTTGGACTCAAGAATTCAAGGTTCGTTTCTCTTGAGGAACAACTCATGATATTCCTGTATACATGTGTCACTGGCCTGCCATTCAGGCATATAGGGGAGCACTTTCAACAATTGAATGATACAATTTCATGGTATGTATTTAACACTCCTCCAATGTAACTACTGCATGGAGTTTCCAGTTATTTCCATATGATACTCACCATGCTTGCAACACAACCTTTTTATATGGACTACATTTGATTTCCAGCTGGCAATACTGTTCCTTCGAAGATCCAAAACAACCCAAAATTCTGGCCATACTTCTGCAATGCTATCAGCACCATCGATGGAAGCCATATCCATGCATCTCCCCCTACCTATGTATGTTTCGAACTACTGGAACCAGCAAGGGATATGTTTCCCAAAACTGTCTCTTCACATGCAATTTTGATTTATGGTTTATATACTCTCTTACAGGCTGGGAGGGCAGTGCAGCAGATGCCCATGTCTATGAATATGTGACCACACATGACTTGAGGATTCCTGAAGGAAAGTTTTTGCTTGCAGATGCCAGATTTCCTGCAGACTGAATGTTGCTTGTTCCATACTGTGGTGTATGCTACCATTTAGCTGAATGGGGCTGTGCTAGTGTAAGGTAAGTAATCACACTTATGATCCCCTGACCTGTCCTACTGATGAAAACTAGCAGGCCTGCAAACAAGCAAGAATTGTTCAACTTGCAGCATGCATTGGCCCTACAATGTTATCAAACATATTTTTGGTGTCATAAAGCATTGTTTTTGTATCCTTTCACTAGTTCCACCATTTGATCTCCAGATGCAAGTGCAGCTGCCAGCAGTGCTTTGCACCCTTCATAATTTCATCCACATCCACAATCCATTCAAAGGCAAACTTCCAGAAGACTTTGGCACTCCATTTGATGGAGGTGTGCAAGGTGGTGATGGGTTGGAGGGGCCTGGTGTACTGGAAGGCAATGGAGAACATCTGGAGGCACACATGTTGTGTGATCAAATCACCAAGGCAATGTGGATTGATTACCAGGCCATCCTGAGGGAGAGAGAGGCAGTGGGACACATGGAGCTCCTTGAAGACAAGTCTGACATGGATGTGGATGGTGCTGAGGATGAGTAAGTAGTGGGGAATATACCTAGGAACTACTGCCCTTCCATGTACATTTTTTTAATGTGAAGACTTAATTCCAGTGATTACTCTTGATAAGTCGTCTGAAACAGCATGAATTACAACAACAAATGAAAGAGGTACATGTCAGTATGGAAAGTATATGCAGCTACAATGTAATTCAAAGTGGTCCCCCCTGATCAACACCACCTTCCCACAGATGACCAGTGATTGATCGTTGATACTCTTGGTTGGCAACAGCTTGATGAAGAGTGGTATTTGTGATGGATGTGTACATCATTGCCTTCTTCTCATCTGCAGTAACAGTGTGCACCATAAATGCGCCTACCTCAACTGGTAGCAAGGAGTCCTCAGTGGACAGAAGGGTCAATGCCTTGGAAAGGTGGTCAACAGAACTGGTGGTGGCAGCTCCATGCTGGATGGTGGTGGCAGGGGCAGGGGCAGGTGAGGCAGCACTTGCATTTGCACTGTCATGGTATATCAAACTGAGGAGATCAGTCATGTGGTTGACAGTGCCAGTTAGACCAGACACTGTGGTCCCAGCTGAGAGTTTGGGCAGAATTGGCTGTTGATTCCTAGGAGGACCAAAGGACCAGGCAGATGACTGACCAGACCCATGAGATGGTTTACATGATGGGGGCAGGGTAGAAGTGTATGAAGTTGGATAGGGCCCAGAAGAAAATGTGCATCTCTCCTTACCAGTCCTACTGATGCTCCCTGAAGACATGCCCAGCCCCTTCATTGGGAAGGGAGGGTATGCTGGGATGCTGGCTGATGGTGTGCCCACCCCCTGAGTCGGGACCACAATGGGTGCTGAGATGCTGGGTGATGCAGATGGAATTGGTGGATTGGGGTGCAAAGGGTTGGGAAAAAATGTGGGAAATTCAGCCATGAAGTCGATATATGAGGGATCAGGAGCTGGGTTCATGCCACCGATGTTACTGTTGGAAGGCTTGTCAAAGTTACCTGGCCACGTTTCTTGATCTTCATCCTTGAGCCAATTTGGGGGCCAGTTAGATGAGGGGGCCTCTGATGGTGCATATGCATTAGCACCTTGTGCCTCTCCTGATGGGGTGATCTGTGCCATCTTTGCATAAAATGGCCATCCAACATTTTTATAGGGCAGGATATGTCATCCACTCTGATGTATTCATGTTAGATGAACTGATATGCTCGATGATAGGGGACAATGTACATTGGTTGCAACATAGCTATTCCATACATTCTCTTCAGCTGGTGTGATGATATTGGCACCAAAATGTTCATCCCATGAGCCAGACCCAGGGTGTTGAATGAAGCCTTTGATGGAATTATAGATCCCTTTCAACTAATAATGATATCAGTCAAGGCTATCAGTGTGAGGAGGATGCACTTACCCATCACCATTTATTTTGAATCTGCTGAGCAGTTCTTGTGGGGGGTGAGTTAGGTGGAGCGATTGCAGCAGTGGCACTAGAAAATACACTGGATTTGAAGTTGCCTGTATCACCTTGTTCTGACCGGTGTTCAATGAGGTAGCTGAGGAGAGTGTGAGTCTCTGAATCAGTCCACTTGTGACTACTCATTGTTTCTGGCTCCTGATCTGATTCTAAAAGAACAAGGAGTCCAGCAACATGTACAATGCAAAGTGTAGCAGAAGCAATACGAGCGATAATGGGTTTGAGGTCATCATATTGACAAGTGATCATTGTTGTATAGTTGGAAGGAAGGTTGAAACTCTGCCTTGTAGTTCATGGAGCATCCTGGGCATGTTAACCGACACATGTGTTAGCAATGGGTTGTACACCAGTTTCCAAACTGGCTCTAAACAAAAGACAAAACTTGGATGTGCTGCAACACCAGCCAAGATGCTTAAATTGTCCCCTTCAGGGTGACATACATAAAAATTGGAACGATACAGAGAAGATTAGCATGGCCCCTGCACAAGGATGACATGCTGTTCCAGAGGGGTAGACCTATGGGTCTCAATATTTATTTTGTTTTTCTTTGGTATTACTTTACTCTCACTGTTCAAATATTATTCTCAAAATATGGAAGTATGGGCAGTATTCCATTAGTATCCCTCGAGGAGGGCAACTTATTCGAATCGCAAATAGAAGCTCAGAATTACAACTAAATGCCTCCATGCTCATACGTAGTTTTTCGCAGCTTCTATGGATCAAGAATTCAACTTATTTTTCGTAAATAACCGAGCAGCTACCACTTGGGAGGCATGTGACATGATTCAGTTCAGCTAGCAGCAACTGTCACCGTCTTCACAAAGGACTTGCTACCACACCATGCAAATTTCACAGCACACAGGACGTCCCCAGTCGCTTCATACTAATCACCAGCAGCATCAGTGTTACCGATTCTAGCTGTGTCAAGTTCGTTCTAGCCTTGTCGTTGGTCTGCAAGGTTAGATCAGGTGTGGATATGTTTCCACCTGGGCTGGACTGTGGGTTGTGAGGCTGATACACCATGTTCTCAGAGTGTACAAGTTTTCACAGAACCTGTAATTGGGGGGTCGGATGAGTCATCCTTACTGAATGAAGATGGTTCCAAAGAATCAGATTACAGCTATAGTGACATGTAGTATTTCACACTATGTTGGTAGGCTGGTCTAAATCTAAGCTGCTTGGCCCTTCTCAATTAGCCATGCCAATGAAGGATAGGATGTAGGCTAGCAGAAGACACCTCCTGACTCTCTTGATCTCTGGGATGTTGATGCCATTGTTGCTTTGGAGTCCTGGATGCATGAGATTCTGGCACCTCACTCTGCATTGTCCCCATGAGTTGGGGGGAAAGATCAGTATACATCAGGAAAATAACACATTTACTATTTTTGACTTTTTGTGACTAATGTGACTTTTTGGGAAGGAATCTACTATCATTACCCATGTCCTGCAGGCATGGCTGCACTTTTCTTGCTGATTTTGGTCTTGTTCAAACCACCTAATTCATAGCTTTCAGTAGATACCACATACATTCAAATTGATGGAGGTTCCAAAGAGATATTGTGATTTTTCTCTCAGACAGTGTGCATCACACCAATGGCTTAATATCTCTGAATTTTCAGACATTTTCTAGTCTTCTTGGCTTAGATATATCATCACTTAGTTGTCTCAATAGATTCTGTTCTCTTTTCATTCTTCAAAATGCTGTATATGGTCAAAAAAAAAGTACAGATAGTAGGTTCCTTCCCAAAAAGTCACAATAGTCACAAAAAAGTCAAAAAGAGTCACAAAAAGGTCAAAAATAGCAAAGTGTTAATTTCCTGATGTAGGTGTAGGAAGCAGAGCAATGCCATCAAATACAGGATAACTGTATGTGCATGGCAAAGCCACTGTTAAGCTAATAGAAACTCAAGAGCCTAATATAAACTCCAGTGCAATCATGGCCTGCTGGCTGTACTTGGAGGTGAAGGTGTGGTTGCAGCCCTGGTACCAGTCTGCAGGCCAGTCCTTCAATGGGACACTCAGGCCATGTGGGGGATCGCCAATGAGCCAATGGGTGATGATGTCCTGCCAGGAGTCCCTTCTGGGATGTCATGAGCCATCCAGCAGTTTGACAGGTATGTTTGGAATCCTGAGCCCAGAGAGTGGTGGCTGCTTGGCAAGGGGGACAATGGGGTAGTCATGGCAGCTTGCTGTCTGGCTCAGGCCAGCACAAGCAGTGACAATGTGATTTGCAGGGACTCGGGCCATTGGGCCCACTGGCAGGACCAGGGCAGAGGCCTGTGCCAGCTGGGGGACAGGTGTGGGTGTGATCAAGCTGGGATGCCCATGCAGCAGCTGTGACTGTGATGGTGGTGTGATGGAATGGGGTACACTAGCATAGCTACCATGAGTTGTAGATCCAGCACAAGGCTGCCACAGAGCACCAGCCATACCTTGGCAAATGATGGTGGCAAGCTCATGAACAGACTTGCTGACCTGCCCCATTCCTGGTCCACAGGCCATGAATGTTGGAGGTGATGGACATGTGGGCTGTGTGAACCTCCTCTGCAGTGACAGGTTGCATGAGGGCAGATTTGCCTACCAGAGAATCCTGCAAATCCTGTACAATCAGAGCAAGCACATCACTGCAGTCTGCCTTGTAACAGTAAAGCTCAGTCTAGGAGGTATCGGATGAGGGTGTTATGCTGGAGGCCATGTCAGAGCAGGTCAGTAGTACAGTACCAGGTGTGAAGCATCCAGGTCAATGCTGTGAACAATGGGACACTCAAACTTGGCACTTACATGCTCCCCCTCAGCCCAGCCCCCCCACCAGTGGACCTTTTTGAGGGACCAGCACTTGCCAACAGGGGCCAGCATAAACCTGTACTGTGCTCCACCCCATCGAAAGCAATGGGTCGAGAAGGAGCCTTGAATTCCCATGCCAGTCATTGCTTCATTGATCCACTGTTGCATGGCATCAGTGTGAGATTGGCTCATGGGGCTGTACAACACCATTAGCCCCCATTGCAGGGAAGACATTGTCATCAGGGTCAAGTGGTTGTTGGTAGTGGACATGTTCAAGCCAGTGTACCCAGAGTGGCAGCCACAGGAAGCAGTCAGCTCCTGGGAGCTCAGGCTGGGGGAGGATTTTATACCAGTTGCCTGCAGGGAAATGCATGCTCAGTTTGATGTCAGCTTGCTCACAGCCTCATTGTGTGCATTACCAACAAGGCAATCAGGCTAATGGTGGACTCACTGTGCAGATCAGCCTTGGTCATCCCCTTGTCAACCTTGCGCTGCCACCCCTTTCGGTTTGCTAGGTAGACCTTGAAGTAGACAGACCTGTCAGACAGCATCAGTGGCTCATTTCCAAGGTACTTTTCTAGTGTGTGGTCCACCATCATGCAGTCGATTGTGATGTGCCTCCGCTTGAGTCAGATCAGCTTGTATCACCTGTGTGACTGTGTGTATCTCTCAGATGAGGGTCACACAATACACTCCACAATGGAGTCACCTCACTGACCTTGTCCATAGTGTCCATGCTGTGGATGCAAATGCGAGTTGCTCAAGGTGGCATGTCACCAGTGTCTGCACCTTGAGACCAAGAAGTTCTGACAGTGGCTGTTGTGTGGGCCCACTGCCAGGCATGCTGAAAGTCATTCAAAGGACACTCAAGGCAAAATCAAGGTCAGGGCACACTGTGCATGCCCACTGCAACATCCAATCCAAGTGATCCTGCATGATGGGCAGTGAGTGCTTGCAATCACCTGCTTCCACACTCGCCTTGTGCTTGATCGAAGTCAGGATGTCTTGAACATCAGCTGATTCTGCTGGGTTCCCCTCCCAGCACTGCCTCACCTCATTGAACCCCCACTTGCCTCAAAAGGTATTTCCATCCCTGTTAGATGGCAATGGCACAGTATCCACCAATGCCCAGTCAGTGGTCTGCACACCTGCTGGCTGTCTGAACACTGGGACAAAGGTCTGCTTATGCATTTGCCCAAATGTCTTTGAATGCTGCCCTGATGCTCTCCACAGTGCTCTTGCCTAAATTCTCATGGAATCCCTTCCACATCATGTACAAGGCCAATGCCTTGTCAGAGCAGCTGTTTGGTGTGCTCTTGAAGGCTGTTCTGAACTCTGGGTTGCTGTATGGGTTGTTGGGTGCCATGGGAGTCAGGGCTGGGCCAGCATCCTCAGGCTGGCTCTCCATTCCAGAGGCAGCAAAGCTGCTGAGCCACTCTCAACCTCAGTGGACATGTGCAGCATAGGCAGTTCTCATTCTTGCTGCCTTGAGGTGTGTCTGCTTCCCCTGCTCTTTCAGCTGGTTGATGTCCTTCAGAGACATGGCTGCAGCAGTGCCGGTGTTGACTGCAGGGGTCTGCCTCTTCCAACTCGACTTCTTCTGTGGTGACTGCAACACCACCAGAGCCTTCTTCGACTCTTGATTTTGACCCATCAGGTCAGATATATTTTCTGGGATAAGCCAGGGGTTTAGAAGGAGCTGTGTAGCAGCTGGGCACTGAGTGCTGAAGGCTGGAGCAGAGGTCACACCTGAAGGGTTCAAGTCAGGTAACTAGTTGTGGCCACACCACAGGCCCACACAACTATGGGGATGCATAGCACACTACACACATTACATGGATGAAATGGATAGCAAACATATGTACAACCAGTGCTGCCACTACAGTGTCTCCATCTTGTAATTCATAATTCAGTTGATCATGGGGCAGAGGCCCTCGAGCTTGGGGTGAAGCAGAAGGGCTCACATGGAGATATTAAATATGTATATGCATGGGTCATTCAGCACTGACAAGGCATTGCCATTTCCATTTCCATGCACCTACAAGGGGTGATCAGTGTGTTGAGATGTCCAGCACAGATGTTTGACTCAGCCATCCTGTATTTGTTGAGGGCTCATGCCCAGATGGCAATCACAACCATACTGCACACAGGGGAACTGGAAGCAAGAGCAGCACATCTTGAGGACCCAAGCTCTTTGTGATGTATCCAAATGAGTCCACAGCAGTGTGACAAACAGCTTTCTTGTGGGCTTTCAAGAGATCCAATGACTCGAAGCAGATACCCATCCATTCTTGGGCTGGAATGAACTTGGCACCACAATCCATGATACGACCAATCAAGTTTGTAGATGCCTCTTGGGCCTTCTTGTGATGGCTATGAAGAATGGGGGTCATTCAAGGAACTATATGTCAGGTCAGACATTGAGTAATCAAGAGGTAATAAATACTTGCAAAGATCTTTCACCAGGGGGGGAGGTTCATTTGTGTCATACTGACCGCATTTGTGATAGCACCCTCAGCAGCAATGATACTGCCAAGCATGCCAGGGTACTCCTCTCCAAGTTGTTCAAACAAGACAAGTCCAAGCTTGCTCAAAAGCTGGTCCTCATCACATTGCTTGATGATGATGATAGTGGGTCACATGGTGAGATCAGTGGTCTGTTGACAAAATTTGGTGCTTTTGTTGTTCAATGCTGCCAGAGGATAGTAGAGACAATCTGTGTAAGGTACAGTTTGACACAGATACCTAGAGCGTCAACAACAGTGCTGAACCTGTCCAGCATGACTTGGCCTTCCATAGTCTGCTCCTGGAAGGAGCATGTGATGCCATTGACCAGACAGACCTCCAAACATTTGTCAATATCAGAGTCACCAAGAGTGGCGACAACTTTCGTGATAGTCTCCATGACCATTTTATGGTACAGCTCTGCTTCATCATTCAACTCATTCATGATCCTCCCTGTGATCTTGGAGACCCCAGCTCTTTGCATCCATTTGATGATAGTTTCACCTGTCCAGCGCCATGTGACGGACCCAGAATGACTTGAAGAAGTCTGGAAAAACATCCTGCTTAATGTATTGAGCAGTTACACCATTGGCAGCAGCACATTGCTTAATGACCTTCAAGACAATCTTCTTCATCTCTTCATCTGACATCTGGAATTTGTGGATCAAGATGACCATGACCTCCTTCATGTAGTACGAAGCATATTCTAGGTCCATGAGAGGAATGATGAAACCAATTGCCTTCAAGAAGGCAGCAAGTCCCTTTCTGTGATGCTGGTGAATACTGAGCCACAGTGGCCATAGAACCTCATCAGAAGACTCAATTCCATAGGGTGCAGCCACTTCAGCTAGGGCAGCAGTAGCAAGTGCAGTCACTGTCTGCACTTTCTGCCATTTGTCCATGAGACCATGAGCAACACAGCTGACAAGGCTGCACAAGTGTGGAAGGATGGCACAGCCCATCATGATGGCAATCTGCTGAACAATATGGACACCCACACAATGAGCCTGCTGCAACTTCTAGCTATGACAAATGGCCTTGAGGAAGGAAGGGAAGCAACATTGGGATGCCTAGTGCAGGTGTGACAACAGAAAAGGCATGGGCTGTGGTATTGCACACATATTCATCAGCACAGTCAATGTCCAGACAGATGGTGGAAACCATGTGTGCAAGAGGCCAGCCACTTTTTGCAAGGTTGGAAATGACCTCATGGCCTCCAACACAAGCATAGTAGTCCTCATCTATAAGGAGCAGCTCAATAACAACTAGGATTTCATGAACATGGGGCCAGACAAGGCTGTTGAGTTTGTATAGGATGTGGTTGATGACTTTGGAAGGATGGCAGTCTGCTGAACGATATGGACACCTGTGTGACAGGCCTGCCATGACTTCTTGTGTCATATGACAAACTGCCTTGAGGAAGGGAAGTGATGCTGGGATGCCCCATGCAGGTGTGAAATGGAAAACACATGGCCAGTGGTACTGCATGCACATTCATTGGCATGGTCAATGTCCAGATGCATGGTGGAAATTGTGTGTGTGAGGCTTGGAAATGATCTCATGGCCATCAAAGTGAGCATAGCAGTCTTCATCTACAAGAGCAGCTTGATGACAACTAGAATTTTATGAACATAGGGCTGGACAAGGTTGTTGAGTTTGTATAGGATGCAGTCAATGACTTTGGAAGGACAGCACAGCCAATCAGGATGGCAATCTGCTGAATGATACAGACACCTGTGTGACAAGCCTGCCATGACTTCTCATGTAGTATGGCAAATCAGCTTGAGGAAGGGAAGCAATGCTGGGATACCCAGTGCAGGCATGACAATGGAAAAGGCACAGGCTGTGGCATTGTGCACACATTCATCAGTGCAGCCAACATCCAGGCACATGGTGTAAATCATGTGTGCAAGACCAGCCATCCTCATCTCCAACAACGACAAGGTGTGCATGCAAAACAAGGGCAGGGGCCCAGAAATCATCTATGAATTGGTGGGTGGGGTGAGTGTGAACTCTGTGTCTTCAAGGACACAGTGAGTATGCAGATCAAAGGTGGAGGGCCAAAAATCACCTACCAATTGATGGGTGGAGTGAACATGAACATGAATGCAAACATCTTTGTCTTCAATGGACCTCAGTGGGGGGAGGGGCAAAAATTCACCCAACGATCAGTGGGCAGAACATATGTGAATGTTGTCACACACCAAAGGTGTTTGGTGAGGTGGACATGGATGTAGCTGATGAATGGAGGTGAAGACCATAGCCCTCATGCAAAGAAGGACAGCCAGCAATGTCAGGCAGTCATCCCTCAGCACAAGAACAAGTTGTCAATGCCAAAGAAAAAGGAGGAGGCAAGTTAAGTGCCAATAAAATTCTCAAGTGCCCATGTACAGCATTCCGGTTTTCGATGTATCTCCACCAATTCTGCAGACACCGAAACCATTCCCACACTCGCTTGTAGTGCTCAGCCACGCGATCCTACCTTCCAAGGATTGGAAAGGATTTGTGCACTCCACACATTTTCTACAGCACTCCCTCCAAAAGACACTCATTTCGCTAATTCTTCTGATATGGCTGCCTCCACATCAGTCATTTCGCTTGTCCCCTTTGCTAGGGACCATGGCTACATATATCTACCAGGAGTTCCTACCAGCCTCCATCCTGAAGCATCCTGGTACATCCCACCCTTGTCTGCCCCCTCTCAGCCCATCCAGCTTGGACAGCAGTGTTCTTTTTGTCAGTATGACCTCCAGGAGGATGTTCTTTGGTCAGCTCAGGTCTGTCATTCACTTGGAAAGGTCTTATGTGGTTGTTTCAGTCTCTCCAGTCCAAGAAGCATATGGATCCTTCCTCCCTGCCCCCTGCAATGTCTTCATACCAGTCTCATCTGTCATTCTTCCAAAATTGTGACAGCTACAGTATAATCTACTGTTCTCCACTCTCCCTGATCGCATCCATGACAGGTATGATGCACATCTTGCCTCCTTGTTGCAAGATACAGCAGAAGACACTCCCCCTTCATCCTCTCTTCCAACAGAGCCTCATTCATGAAGTTTTTATTTGCTTCACTGAGAGGATGGTTTTGGGGGGAAAGTTGCGATCCCCTATGCTCCTGTCACCCCACAGACCCCCAAAGCTTGACCCCTGTTGACATCTGACTCACCCTGTCCACTTTTGGATGTACTATATCAGCATCAGATCAGCACTGCCTCTCTGTCATCCCACCTTGGCCTAGAAGCAATCTCTTCAAGATGTGACATGCACAGCCTCCCCTTAATGTGATTCCAGTGCACTTTCCCAGTTCCTGACATTACTTGACTTGTACTTTGACAGTTCTGACTGTCTTTGACTCACCTATTGCCAATACTTACCAATCTTTTGACTTTGCTTACTGATTCTTCACTTTTTGGCTTACTTATCCTTACCAATGCTTACCAATGCTTTCCAAGATGATTACCCATCGCTTACATTCCTTACTCATCAGTTACCAATCACTTACCAAGTGTTTGCACCTTGTTTTCCATAGGCAATGCCCCTGTACTGTATATAAGTCACTGTACTTAGGTAGCAAAAAAGAAGACATCAGAGAGTCCCTCTTGCTCGCAATTTATCATCTCTCAGTAAATCATTCATCAGCTTCAATAGTTGAGACTTTATTAAGGGTCTAGCTATCATCTACTTCACTTATCATCATCTATCATCCATATACTTCACTCCAAGCCCTCCCTGAGCTCAGTACAGCTTAGGACATCGAATTAAGTCACCATCCATCCTTCTGTAGGCTGACAGCAGTCTACCCTATTGCCTTTCTATCACATTCTTGCTCCCTCTTCGTCAGGAGCACCCCCAACCCTCAGCACTCATCTTTGAGTGTTGTAGCTCGCAAAAACCCTCCCAAAGAACAGGTTCTACCATCTAGGTACCAGCATAGGCACACCACCACTCACTTTCATTGTCCTTTGTGTTGGTTTTGGTTGGTTTTCACCACTGAACCTCACTTTGACTCACAATGTCTTCATCTTTGAGGACAGGGTGGGGGCTCAAAAATCATTCACCAATCAGTGGGCAAAGCAAGCATGGATGTCTAATCACCTACTGATCAGTGTGTGGAGGGAACACAAACACACCTCATCTTCAACAACAGGGTGGGGCCTGAAAACCATCTGCTGATCAGCAGGCAAAGTGAGTGTGGACATCATCATCTTCAACAACCAGGTGAGTGCCCGAAACAAAGGTCAGGGGCCAAAAATCACCTACTGATTGGTGAGCAGAGCAAATGTGAATGCCTTCATGTTCAATGACAAGGCAGGCACAAAGAATGAGGGTGGGGGGCCTAAAATTTGTCTACTGATCAGTGGGCAAAGTGAGTACAAAGCATCTGTGTCTTCAACGACTCAGTGAGTGCACAAAACAAAGGATGGGGGGTGAAAATTCACCCACCAATCACCATTTGGAGTGAACATGAATGCAAACATCTTTGTCTTCGACAGCAGGATGGGTATGCACTCCAAAGCAAGCCAGAACATTGGGAGGGGATATGTGCGGTCAGAGAGTGCACATGCCACAGGGCAATGGGGAAGAGCTGGCAGGAAATGGGTTGAGCATGAGCATGGACATTGACAGCACACACCTACACTGATGAAATATGACACATTGAGCACAAACATGGATGTGCACATAGTGCCACAGGTGGATGGGCAGTGACGAGCCCAACACCGATGGCTTAGTAAGCTTACCAGATCTGGAAGGTCTATTAGTTGGCAGATGTGCTACATTGTAGAGGCTGAAGGGCTACAAACGACTACAGAAAGAGCAGACTACAAAGTGTGTAAAGTGCATGGAATGGCAGGGATAAGTTGGAAATAAGTGGCAAGTGCCATACCGAGGTGTAAAATATACAATGTTTGGCATAAACATTGTATATTTTGAAATAAGTGAAGGTCTATGCTGCTGGGAGGGAGTCAGGGACCCGTCGGCTCCCCCAGTCCCCAGCTACAAAGCCATATCCCACCCCTCCACATCACCTGCCACAGTCACAGCCCCGCAGCATGTACAGGCTTACACCTGCACTTTGCACTGGTGCACATGGCAAGCTCTGTCCAAATCTGTGAGGATACATTATGACACGTAAGTAGCTACACGAGCAAATACCTCGCGCGCAGCCCAGGGCCGAAGCGGGACATGCTAATCTATATGCAGGGGGGGCGACGGAAACGATACCGGAGATACTGAACGCCAGTACTACATGATCACGCCATTCAGACCCCAGGAAAAACATGCAGACGCGACGGGGGAAGGCGCCGTGCGCGTGCATAGCTGCCCGCCTCTCGCGCTTGCGCCCTACGCGTGTTCACGACCTCGCAATTGCGCGAACAGCGTCCCATATGCCAAACTCGGTCGCTTACATAACGCCGCCCCCTTCGGAACTGGACGGAACGCTGCTGGGGGGCGCGCGACCCCCCCCCCCGCTAACCCTTTTTGGGGCGCCCCTGACACAGCTTGTATATTTTACGGGATAACTGTACTTACATACTTAGAACACCCCTGGCGGACTCGTGCAGGTAATATGTCCAGGTGGCGATTGAGTCAGCACTCCATGTGTTTAGTTACAGCACCGTGCAGGACATGCGAGAGAGAAAATTGGACCTCAGACAGGGTCAAAGATGTTATCTCGACTGCATATCCAAGGTGACTGGCGACCAACCAGCGCTCGGCCTCAACGTTCTCATTTCTGATTGCATCACAACTGCCTTTCCAGGTCTGCCTAGTGAGTAATACCACTGCGTGTTCTATCCGCTTATGTTCTCATCTAATATAGAAGGATTACCACACGGAGACTACAGCCTGGGTTCTGTTCGGCCCTTCTTATCTATTTATTCCAAGGGAGCTCATGAACAAAACCACAAATTAATTTGGCGACTCATTTCTCACTAGTATCGTTACTCCGACACCTCGTGTTGAGTGGTCGCTGTTGTGATCACTGCGACCCTGCTACTGAATACGGGCTATGTAGCTATTCAAAGATTTTGTGTTCACTCCCTTGATTGAAGTACAAGTTCATCAGTAGTGTAGGGCTCATTTCATCGTTCTATTTACTCCACAAGCCCTCCAGGCCAGTTTAATTTCCTCTTAGATCTTCATCAGTATCGGTGTCGACTCATTTCTAGTTTTTTTGTTTTGTTTTTTTTGTTTGGTATAAACAATACTTGGGAACGATGGCGCGCCTGTCTGCCACGATCCGAAATCAATCGACAACAGAGGGATAAGGAACATTAGACCGATTTAATTGCCAAGGTGTCTGCACGAGCCCTCCAGTCCAACTTAACATCCAGTGCATTTCTGTGTATAAAGACATGTCCCTGGGATGACGGCGAGTCTGTCTGTCATGACTTGATAACAATGGACAACGGACGATTGCCAGAACACCACATTGGTTCAATTGCCAACAGGTGTGTTCTGTCTTGTTCGTGCCTCCAGAGTTTTCCCAAGCTTCATGGCAATGCAGCACATCTCATACCCTCCAAGAGGCCTTCACGGTGGATGTACAAACGGTGTGTATTTTCTGGGCTGGATTGTGGAGGCAAAATTAACTTGTTGAATCAAGAACCAGTATTCCTCCTGTCCGAAAACACTTTGCCTTTATACGGACCCCCAGGGTTGCGAATGCTTGGAGCCTATCAACTGCGGTACCGCCCCCGACCACTTCAAAAATAAGCATGGTATCAGGAATATGGGCCGCGAAGTCGAGTTGATCTGTGTGTGGCAGAATTGTAGATGCCGAGTTATCAGGCATAACTATATTCGACACATCCGTGAACATCACCTCCAACATGACAGGGTGTTTGCTCACACAAACCAACATGTCATACGCCTGAAATAATGAGTTGTTCAGGTGTCATGGAGGATCTTGGCAGCGTGACTGCTATAGAATCTAAAGGGGCTGAGCTTGGTAGACTCCGTGACATAATTTGATACTCCTAGCCAATTCCGTGTAAATCATTCATGTTACTACTAGCAGAAAAATAGTGTTGGGTGGTTGCTCACGCAAACCGGGGGTCCGAGTATGGAGGGTTTAAGGCGTGACTGCTACGGAATCCCCCAAGGAACCAGACTCAGTAGGCTTTGGGGCACCATTTGGTACCCTGTCACCGTACGAAGGTGTCTTTGGAGGATAGCACATGTCTTGTGTTAATGTATGTGGCTTATGCATTACCTTCCAATGAGACGATCATCCCTTAGAGCTTCGTAACTTCCGTGAGTTGGCGCAGATAGGTTGTCTAGCTACAGGGAATACGCGTTCTCACGTTTCGAGATGAAATTACCTTGCTTGCAAGGGTTCTAAGCACATCACTGGCACAACAGATTTTTGTAGATTTGAATCGACTTTTTATGTGGTACTCAACAATGATCAAGTACGGCTCCGAGGCAAAACTTAAAGTTTTTGGAGTATAAACTTGGTTTATTACTAAGCTAATGGGTCGGCGAGGGGCACGGAGGCGCAATCGGGGGTGGTATGACGTAATACCCTTATTAACTGGAGTGCGGCACTTTTTGACCCGTCCTACCGCATGGCCAGATGAACACATGACAGAACCCCTTTGTGATCTTGGGGTCATGTTTTGGGCTTGTCGAGAGTTTTTCGGGCCTTTTCATTCTCGTCCTTTCAGCTACGTATCTTCGTCCTTGCCTCGAGTGCTTCGATCCATCAGGCTTCATAAAATCTGTTAGTGGCAGCTTCTGCCCCTTACATAAATTACATTGCCGTTTCACGGACAGGAAAACGCATGGTCATATGCCAGATCCAACCGAGTCCCCTTATCTACCTTCCAAAAGCCCTCCGGGCATCGGGCCTGGATGCCACAAGCACAACCCACGATTTCGTGCAGTGACTAAACAAACGACCTACCCGCAATGCACCAGTGATCGGTGGAAGAGTGCCCCAGCAAACACCACGCATCTTGCCTCTTGCACCGTTAGCCCAAGAAACGGGGTCTTGGGTAAAGACTCGTACACGGCACATGTTTCTCTCATGCACGTTTCCCGTCCCACTTCCGCCTCAGTGTTCGCTTCTCAAAAGAGAAGAATGGTGTTCTTGCATAAACCCTGCTACCGGCCCTGAGGCCTGAGGCCTCATGAAATATCATTATCAACTCCTGATACTGTCTGAAGGTTTATAGCATGAAGCAATCCGAGTGCATCATTGACTTGTGTGGAGAATGCTTGCCGCATTCTCACTCATGCCCTAAATTTCGTACACCACTGCCGCTACCGCACCATAACCATACTGCGGGGTAACTTCCGGCTGATGACGACATTCGACGCACTGTCGCACGTATACAGATGAAACACGATTCATAACCGTAAGCGCTTATGTCCATCCATCGTACGCGGCCAAGGACGTATGTTCTTCACGATTGATACGCCCAATAATCCATCAAGGAGACCTGGTACCGCCGTACAACTGACGACAAAACGAACACCGGTTCTGTTGAAAACATCCAGAATTCTGTCAGCGTGAGCAAAATGGCGACGCCAGCGGTGACAACAGTCCTTCTGTTGCCTCCAGTGAGTCCACCATCGCTTCGACTCTTACGACGCGGAGAAAACAAACCTACGCGGCCCCTGATGTACCGTGCGTGAATGACGGATGCACCTTCCGCAGTGTGCACGAGCACGCAGCCCACGAGCGCCGTATAGAGCATCCAATTCCGTCACAGCCACGTTGTTATAGCTGTCTTGACGAACTCAAAGTCGAGTTCGGAAGGCTCGAGTGGGTCCAAGTTGACGTCGCTCGAAGACCATGCAAGAGTGTCCGCCTCGGCAGGTAAGAGTTTATGTGTAGCGACGTGTACAGGGACGAAGAAGAAGAGTGCGATGTATGCCGAAGCGCTAAGCAGGCTCACCAGTTTATAGATGGGAGGACGTGGTTTGGAGGCGAATGGTTGTTAAGAAGTATCTAAGTCTGAGGTAGATAGACGGAAGAAGATGAGCCATCATTCCCCGAACGCGGTTTGGTAGTTCTCTCCCTGCCGACGAGTTGCATACCCATAGCGCAAAGCCGAATCAGTCCACTCAACCAACACATGACGCTGGGTGCCAGTCTAAACTCACTGATGCTGGTTGCAATAGGCACCGATAAATGTATGAGGAGCAAGGTCGACACACAAGTGGAGCTGAGCTGTGAACGAGCATCGTCAGAACGTACGACGCAGTCGCCACCGGCTTGCCATTATTTGATGCTGGCGATACGGGTTCCTCTGTTGTCTCGGAGTTCATTGGATCCATAGTCTGACAAGGATTGGGCGTCAGTATACGAGACCCACGTGGAGTGCGGAAGTCCAAATCCAGACTGAGGATGGAACGCATCTTGCCTTTCATCCACCACCTCGTTAATCGCAATGGTACAAAACTGTCTGACAGTACCACTAGCATTGGAGGTCCCAACACACCTTCGTCGCCTTTGTCTTCAGAATCACCAATGGTATGCATGCTGACACCAGCCTCAATTGCGCTAGACACTACTTGGCGACATTCAGACTGCTTACCACACACCGGACCCTGCGACGGTTTCAGAAATTGCAGCTGCAGCTCAACTAGAACGACTACGAGTTATGGAGGTGCTGGTAGCCCGCGAAAATGTGATGGTATATCTCGAAGACGCGCATACATACCTCAGTTGGACAGAAGTCAGCCATCGTATCTCGCTTGGAACGAGAACTCGAGATTATTTTTTCTGCCACTGCCGAGGATCAAACAGACTTCGAAAAGAACATAAATTTTGAACGACATATCAAAGAAATGTACCTAGCAACTTCGTATCTGCGTGCGATGGCTCTGGCGTTCAGTATTTGGTATCACTCTCAATGATTGACCATGTTCTCTGCCAGATACGTTCGGATTCACCGTCTTTCTGGGTACCAATCGCAGCGCCACCCCGAACCCTCGCTTCCTGGAATGTCTGCGGTCGTCCGACAAGCGTATCTCTATTGTAAATGACGACTCTGACAAACAGGCGAGCACGTAGCCGCGGCTAACTGACACGCTGCTTCCGCATATACGACCAGGTTGCATTATCATCGCTGTTCTTTGGAAGGTGGAACCGAGGAACCCATCGCTGCATGTCATTCGATACCTGCTGTGCTTCACCTTCTGTCTGACATCCCAGAGGATGAACTGCAGTCTATCCTGCTGCCCATGCACGTTCATTAGGCATTTTCCCCTGCACTACCACGAGTATTCGTGCTATGTTTCCCCCGTCAAGGCTTCGAAGAACTTGTAAAGATACTGTGATCTTCCTTTCTATTCGATTTCCCCGGCTAGACCGCAACACACTCAAAAGTCGCCGCATCCTGACGCAAGTCATGACGTACCGGTGTCCAGATCGGAGGAACATAGGTACTCTCTCACTCCGGCTTTCAAGTGTACTGCCAACCCGCGCGTCGTCACTGCTCAAATGGCTCTGACATACTTGGTCACATGGGATACCAACCGGCACGACCGGCTTGCTCAGAAGCCGGCAGACGAATACCTCTCAATGCAATGACGCACTTCATAAAGTATTTTTAACACGGGACAGGAAGTGGCATTATGGAGGCTCCTATCGCACATTTTGCGTGGACGATCTGACGAGTAAGAAGTGGGCATTACTCTCGACAGGTGCAGGTAAATAATTCGTACACTTCTCCTCTTTGCATGGATATTCGCAGACGCAGCAAGTGCTAATCAAGGAAACGTTTACAGGCCGGAAGGATGTGCGCCTCAAAACACGTACAAGAGAGGTCAATTGTATGCAGCTGGAGCCCTGAGGGTATCCTGTGCAGGACTGCAGTGCATTGGATTCAACAATGAGGTGTATCACACCGTCCTGGAACAGTCTCCATTCGTGCATTGTACGCCAGCTGTGGATGGACTGTTCCAGTCCCACCGAATGGTCGACGCGATGCAAGCAATGGCGACAGCAAGTCTTCGATTAACTGGCAGATTCTCCCCTCTTCGCGGCTACTGTGCTTGGACTCTGGGGCGTCTACTTGACATTTGTCCCGAGTGATCCTTCCTGCTTCTTCATTGCACTACTGTAGCTGTATGCCTACTGTTGAATACTAAGTGTGCCGTGTGCGTAGCTCTGGCACACCGCGTAGGACAATCGGACGCCCAAGTGCAACGACTGATGTACTGACTCACAAGAATCGTGCTGTTCTCCCCGCTCTGGTC